CTGTATGCCTGCTGGCCAGAAGAGGGCACCAGACCCCATTACAGATGGTTGTGAGCCACCATGTGGTTGCTGGGAATTGAACTCAGGACCTTTGGTAGAGCAGGCAATGCTCTTAACCTCTGAGCCATCTCTCCAGCCCCAAATAAACTGAATTTTACAGACGATTGTGAGCCACTATTTGAGTTCTGGGAATCAAACACAGGTTCCCTGGAAGGACAGCCAGTGTTCCTGCCTCTCCAGCCACTATTTGGTTTGGTTGTTATGTTTTTATGAATGGTCGTGATGTATCTTGTTTTTCTTACTTTAGCAGTATAAATTTCTAAGTTGATTAACAAATAGAATATTGATTTGTAGAATTTGTTGTATGTTAAAGTAGTAGCCTTGATCTTTATACTAGAATTTCTGTTTTCTTATAGAACAGTTACTTGAGTTCATGCACCAGCTTCCTGCATTTGCAAACATGACCATGTCTGTAAGGAGAGAGCTCTGCTCTGTCATGATTTTTGAAGTAGTAGAGCAGGCTGGAGCTGTAATTCTTGAAGATGGGCAAGAGGTAGGTCAACAAATAAGTCATTAATATTTTGAAGCTTGTATAAATCTAAGAGTTTGAGTGTAAAGTATTTTGAGTATTTGAGGTAGGTTTTTGTTGTTGCTTATTTTAGGTTTTGTTGTTGTCATTGTTTGGTTTTATCTTTTTGGGTTCTTTGTTTTGTTTTTTGTGTTTGTGTTTGAGGCAAGGTTTCTCTGTGTAGTCCCTAGCTGTCCTGGAACTCATTCTGTAGACCAGGCTGGCCTTGAATTCACAGAAATCTGCCTGCCTCTACCTCCTGAGTGCTGGGATTAAAGGCATGTGTCAACACCACCACTTGTTGGTTAGTTAATTTTTAAAGAGATAAGTTGTTTTATGTTGTTATTGTGGTTCTTTTTTTGTGTGTGTTGTTTTTGGTCTTTTTATTTTTTGGTGCGTGTGATGTTTTGGGTTTTTTGTTTTGTTTTGTTTGCTTTACATTTTTTTAAACTGTTGGTTCCCCAGCAATGGACTTCATACAAAATAGGTATTCAGTGAAAGATTGAACCAATTTTTTAAATAATAAAATTAGATGGTAAAACTCTTTAAAGAATTCATCATTGTTGTTGATTTATATGTGTGTTGTTTTTGTTGGTGATTTATATATGTGTATGTGTGATATTGTTGGTGAAAATGTTGGTCAAGTGTTATTCACTCCCCTCTTCCCTGTGTGATAAGAATTGAAAGAGGGAGATGTGACCAGGATGTGGTACAGTGGTTCTCTGTCTTCGTAATGCTGCCACCTTTAATATATTTGTAGTGACCTCAAACCTAAAATTATCTTCCTTACTACTTCATACGTGCAATTTTTCTACTGTTATGAATCGTAATGTATATAGCCATGTTTTCTGATGGCCTCAGGCAACCTCTAGTGAAAGGGTTGCAAACCCACAGGTTGAGAATCCCTGCTGTAGTTTGACTGGAAAAACACTTCTGTCAGATTGGTGCTGAGAAGTGAATTACCAATGTTTACTATTAGTAAATTATTTTAACATTTCTGAAAATGTATTTAGAAATTCTTGATGTGGGCCCTACTGTATTCACAGTCTCTAACCTGTTCTACTTAACTGGAGTCTCTCCTTAGAACATAATAAAAATCTTAAGTTATATAAAAAGATACTCCTTACATATTTGTTTTTTTTTGTGTTTTTTTGTTTTTTTTTTTTTTTTTTTTTTTTTTTTTTTTTTTTTTTTTTTTTTTTTTTTTTTTTTTTT